GATAAGGGATTAAAGATGTTACATTCGTTGATGAAAATTCGGCGTTGTATTTATGAAAGGAAATTAGAAAATACGGAAATAATGAATAATTAAACCTAATTTCGAAACAATAGGCCTTTCGAAAGATTCTGCAATATTCTTCAAAAATATTCTGATGGTTAAGCCTAATATCTCAAGTACCCTAGAGTCTTTCAGAATACAACAGGCTAATTGTGTTGCAGTTTTAATAATCTATGCGTTTAGACGGGGAGACATAAAATAACTTCCTAGGTTATTCTGATTATTCTAGATTCACTTAAGAAGCCAAGCAAAGCGTGTAAAAAAGTGCTGAATTTTTTTTGCAAATCAAGTCATTATAGATATAAAAAATAGTAAACCACTTCAGTAGAATTCTGAGTCTAAAAGAAAACGCTAACATTTCTGTGATGGCAAGCAATCTAAATTAGACCTGTAAAAATTAAACAGAAAAGGTGCAGTTCGCAACGCATTTCGACACAGTAGCCTCTTAAAATGGTTAAGTTTTCATTGTTCTGGTTTTGTGTACTGTTAGTGTGCTTTTTAAACCTTTTTCTTAGCTCTTTTTCTTAGATCGAAGCCTCTTTCTAAGACTGTAGATCTATTCTTTCTCTTAGATTTTTCTTATATCTAACCCATTTATTTAGGCACATTGCTTTATCTAGCAAAAAATTAAAAACTTTAGGTCTTGTTCTCCGAGAAGCACCTGTCTCTGGCAAAATGCCTTTTATTCAACTAGTTAACTCGCGAGAATATCCTTGAAAATACTGCCAGGTGAAACAACCTAGATTTCTGATCCCTTTGAAGTCTGAAAAGGCAACATGTTATCAAGCTTGCGTAATGATTTTACATATTTCTTTTCCAATATCTGGATAATCTTATGTAACAGTTGAAAACAGAGATGTGACGCACTCGCCTATAGATAAGATCAGCTTGTCATAGAAGACATCTTGTTTAATTTCAAACTCTTTCTACAGAATTAACTTCACGATTAAACAAATAGTAGATGCGATTGCAGATTGATACAGAATTTTTAAAGCTGCTGCACATTATTACCCCGTTATTACCCTAATTCCAATTTTCCTGTTCTTCTTACAGTTTAGCATACCAAGGGAGCAAAAAAATACTCAATCAAGGTTTAAGTTTAATTCCAGGTTATAGCGAATCAGATTTAAAGCCAAGGTATAGTATTTTCCCATGGTTTCCTGCAGTGTTATCAACAAACATGGGTAGGACTTTACACAGTACTGTTGTGGAGATAAGCTAGTTTGGATTAGAATATCGCTGTAGGAACACACACCGAAAAGCCACACCTACAGTATTAGGCAGTGATAAATCACGGTAGCAACTTAGTACACTGTTTTAAAGTAATACATGAATTGCGGAAGACCTGAACTTCAATTTACGACAGATATGGGTGTGGCAAGAGCGCTCGCAACTTGATTGCAATCGTCTCTATCTACAACACAGCTTCTTCATTGTCCAAATTTGCAAGATCAATACACTGATGCTAATGATATAACATTTGCCTGCCTATTATGGGACCTTAGTGAAAGGCAGCAGAAGCCACATGATCTGGCAATTATGAGTTGAAGTTTGCAGGAATACATACACGACAAAAGATGTGACATGCTGGCCTTTAAATAGAAGGGTTTGTTCTTTAGTTTTCAACATGCAGAGAAGCATATCAGAGCCAAGCAGTGTTTGTACAGCTCTCTTGGAGGCAAATATCAGTCAGATAAAGCTCTCCCTGCGTAATTGGCTTACAGAGCAAAATCCTCAGATCATTGAAGGACAAGCTCATGAAAAACAATAAGCTTGAGAAATGAGTACAAAAGCTGACAAGGCTTAATCTATTGCAATATTTACTCGTCATTAGAGACTGTTGGTCCCAGCTCGTGTGTGCATGCCTGGCAGTTTGTTTAAGGTAAGTTTATTTTATTTCAATGATATAGACAGGTAAAATTTATATTGCGCTCAGGAGCATCAGAAATTTAAAAGTGATAACTAATATGAAATAACTGTGGCTTAATGCTAGTGAATACTTTAAAAAGCAGGCTGTGGGAAATTCGGCGAAACCTGGCTGACATATAAACAAATGAATCATGAAACATTTCAGAGAATAAAAAGGAAAACAAGGTACTTGTGAAATGGCTTTGGCACTTTCGACTTTCATTTCATCACGTGTCTCCCTTCAAATTGAAATCAGTAGCGAGTAGCAAACTTTTGCATTGACAATCACAAGAAAACACTAAGGGTCTTTTTTATATAGAAATCCTTTATTTAGAATAATTGAAATTCCACTAAACTGTGTTATTGCTGGCTCCGGAGAAACAGAATACAACGCCAGGCAACCGTGAAAATGAAGCTAAAAGGCTGAAATCAAATAGAATATGATTAGAACCCTGGTTTCGGGTTCTGGAAGTTGTTTTAAAGAGATGCAGCGCAATTTCTTTTAAAAAGCACTGGCAAGCACAGCAGAAAATTCAAATTCGATGAATACATAGAAAGGAAGGCGAAATAATCTTTCGTGCCTTTGAAGGTATATTGCATCGATCGTTTTTTAAATAAATGGGCTTGCACTCAGTGGCGTAACAAAGTTTAGGATACCTTAGTTCGATAAATTAGGCCCCCAAGATAATCATGTCTCTTTGAATAAAGCACGTATCTCCGTTCCCCCCAGTTGTCGATTAAAAGCATAACTTGGATGAGTTCCCCCCAGTTGTCGATTCACATAACTCAAAAAGTCTAACTTGGATGCAACTTTCCTGCAGTCCGCAAATAAGGCCCTGTCTTTTTTCCCAAGGGCTGAAGATTATACAGCAATAAGTGCAAAGCATGTCTTCGCAACATAAACATAACGTTTTGTAGATCTCACTGACTTTAGAAAACAAGTTTCGTCGATTTGTTGATTTCTTTAAAGTCAAGTACAGATGCCCTCCAGATGCCCCATTGGACAATTTGTTAAAGCGTCTAGTTGCTAAATTCTTGTCTTGCTAAAGTGTCGATGATTGCATTTTTCTGTCAGTAGCTGGTAAAAATTCATTTCATTGTTGCTTGGCTCAAATCAAGAACAGTGGTTTGTTAAAAGCTAAACAGACCAAATAAATGAGGATCTTGGACTTTATTTTCTTTTTTTCATTGTTGTGTTTGTTTGATATTGTCGTGAAAGTACCAGGGTGATCGAGCCAAAATATTTCAATGGAAATTTTGACAATAGGTTATATGCTTTGTGCTTTCGACAATAGGGTCCGTTCTGTTTGTCGAAGATTTTAATGACATTGCACTTGTCACTAAACACACAGATCATGAAGGGAAAAAATCTAAATTATCTTGCAATCACATTCAAAATCTTACGAGACTAGCGCTGATGACGAGTCAGAGACAAATCGCAGTTAAAAGGAACAAAATAAAGATCAATATGTCAATATGAAGCTTATCTTTGCAAGGCCATAACATGGGGGGGGGAGGGGGCGTCAGACTCCCCTGCATGGGCTTTGCAGGCAAATCTAGCAAGCCTTTGCTTAAACAAGAAAATAATTTTCAAGCCATACTTACAGGAAATGTGTCAAGCCTACCCAGGCCCGTCGCTACAATCTTGGACAAAAATTTTGGAACTCATATCAAATATCAAAAATCATTTATTTGTGTACGTTTTCCTTCAAATTTTCACCCCCATTCCCTCTCAGCAATGTTGCGCATGGAAGGCACATTGATTTACAACTTATAACATTGTGCTGGGGGAGAGGGGGCGGTGGTATAAGGTAAATTTGTGAAATGACTGGAGTTCCAATATATTTTGTCCAGGGTTGTAGCTATTGTGCTCAAGGTCGGTTCCCAAGTCCCATTTGCCCACGAAGTGTGTAAGCCATCCTCTATTTGCTGACAAGTTTGGAAGTTTGCCGACCTACAATGCCTGCCAGAATTACTTGGAACACCCAGCAATTTACGTTGCATTTGATATCTTTCATTCCTTTCATGAAAAAAAATCACTACTTCCGCCCCATTCCCCCTAAAAAAATGTTGATGATTTAAAGAAATATCATAAAAGAAGCACAAAAGAAAGTGCTTCCTAAAATCCTAACCCGTTTGATAGTAAACCAACATTATTCTGTAGGGGAGAGGGGGATGATTGATTTTGACCTTGGGAATTGATGTCAGTGTTCCAAGACTTTTGGCAGGCATTGTAGCACCCACCGATGGCGAAAAACCTCGCGTTTATTCGATGGCTATTTTTTCAAGGGGGCGTCACACCCCAAACGCCCCCCCCCATAGTGACGGATGAGCCTATCATTGTCTAATCGTTTACCTTCTTAGCAAAATTCAGTCGCGAAGGTCCATGCATTTTAAAATTATATTAAAAAATGAAAGTAACTTTGCATCGCCTTCAAAAAATTATATGAATCAGCTAGTTTTTCAAACCAAAGCAACAAGATCGATACCTTCAAATCTTTACAAGCTTCTACGTAAATTTCTCAGCCGATAAGATTATGAAGAGGATTTCTGTGAGAAATAAAAGAGGTCTATCTGATGAGTGTGAGAAACCAAATAAGCCCAGTCAGCATTCAAAGTTCAATAAGACAACATTTTTCTTGAATGCTCTCACGTTGGTTAAAACATTGGATAAAAAGACATTAGGTAGGGTAGGTCATACTCTTTAAAATCTGCCCAAAGAAAATAAACTCAGTTTAAAGAACTGAAGTGAGAAAAAAAGGCGTGTTCTCATCTATCTTCTCTCATTTAAGTAACAGGAGTTTTCACAAATGACAAAACAAACAAAAAAAGAAAAATAGTAAAATTGTTGATTGAGTGGGGCATCTGATATTTTTTCAGAGCAAAAATTGTCATTAAAGAAAAACGATTTCACAAGCAATTGAATTGCAACTACCTTATGCTGGGTAGAATTTAGAAGTGAAGTTCGTGATGGTTAGATTTTAAAACCTCACAACACAAAATCCTCTTTGCAAATTTTCAATCGTTTGTTAATACTAACAAGCTCGAGTTGAAATGTGAAAATCAAACAATGAATGGAATAACAATGAAAGATTTACGCTGAGCTTAGTAGTTTTAGAAACTTATAACAAAAAACAAAACTTTCCTCCAATATTCACGCAAAATCCAGCTCACAAACGAGGAAGGTAGGCAGGGCAAAGAACAAACAGCTTGCTACATTCAAAGTATCAATTTTCCAGGTTTAGCAGCTTTCTAATGTCAGGCTAACCTTCTAAACAGCCGAACAGGTTTACTGGATAAAGCTTGAGTCAAAACAATGCCACTCAATTCAAATTGAAATACTGGGGGAGATTAAGTCCTACAGGGCATCTATCCGTTGGATGCTCTGTGTCACCCTTAATAAATCCTCTATAGAGTAATAAATTAAAGGCTAGCGAACTCCTTAGAAGAAACTCTTGCACTCTTGCCAATAAGTACTGACGCAAACAGGAGGCAGATGATGTGATTTTATCCAGGGGCAAGTATCCAGAGCTTTTGTGTTAGCTAAAAGACAAATGTGTGGTTTGCTGTTGGGTTTGGCTTATTGCAATAGCTAGTAGAACAAGGGTATTGGTGTTTGTTGGAGAGGGAAGCCAGGCGTGGAATAAACAGATCTTGTGAAGGTATGAATTCACACTTGGTCACGAAGATACGAATGACTTTACAAGAGTATAAGAATGATTTGTATATCACATCATGAAAATTAGAGCACGACCTGTTTAAAGATTATATCGAGTCTTATGTGTTGGGGTTCGCAAAATATATTAGGGCTAAATTGTGATTTCATGCTCCAAATCTATTCATAAACAAGACCCTGTACACCATAAAGTAAAACGACACAGAATATTTGCAACCTTAACTGTTGCAGTTATTTTATTTTTGGTGTGACTAAGCAGAAATTGAATCTTCTTTTGAAATAGAGTGCTACAATTTGAAAAGCCCTGGGAATTTTGGATACCCCAGTCTTTATGTGTTTAGGATTCTGTCACAATTTTTCTCAAGAATGTATGTGGCTCTTATAATTCCGAAATCCGAAGTTTAACATATATTATGGTATGTTTAAATATCATGGTATGTTTTAGTATCAACACATTTAGTATACGACTTTCGTGAAGTTTACAAGCTTAGCAAGACTGATGGATTTTTACAGCAGTTACATGCTTTAACTTACTTTAGTGTAACAACAATTCGAATAAAACGAGCTCCAATATAAATTTGATGTGCAACATAAGATGAGTAAGCTCTATTTTTTGGTTGGAATAATTTGGTTGGTACAAAAATCAATCATATCTATTAAAATAAAGTTATTGACGTTTTCTTAGTTCCATTGGCCGATGTGCCAAATATTTTTAATTTCACGAACAAGTTATAACCATACATTTGATTTATTTCTACGACCTATGCATTGTCTTCAAAAGATGATACGCCTCGTTTCACGGACACTGCCAAAACCCTCTTCCATAGTTCAACAAAAATCAAGTTAAATTATTAGCAGAAAGATTTATCCACGAACATCTAAAACAGTTTCAGCAAGTGACAGACAAAGCTTCAAATAAACCCAGATTCTTTTCACGGTTACAAATTAACTTTGACAAATCTTCTCTCGATTCTGTTTTCTGTTTGCTTGTTTTTTTATGATTTAAAAAGCATGCCAGTTTCCATATAAACATAAAAAACACGCTTATAAATATCATCAAAAACTAAAAATACTTGAAAAATCTGCATTTGTCTTTCCAAAACCAAAATTGATGATATTCTTACGTTGTCAAGATCAATAGCAAAAGTATGTCATAGTAGTCGAGAGGGAGCGAGACAAAAAATTTCAATTTACATTAGGAGAAATCAGCAGAAATTGAGTTATTTGCTAAACTGGCTTGATAGTAATCAAATATAGAAAAGCGCATATAGTGACCCAATTTCCATTGTGTTGCTGATGCTTCTCCTCCGCAGGCTAACAGTTATGTTCCTGTTTATATCAGCAAATTTATCCCACTTCTCAGTCCATATTCTGGCTGGTGGGATGGAATCATCGGAATTTTACATGCAGATTCTATCCCACCTTCCAGCTAGAGACAATCATCCCACCTTCCAGCCTGTGTGCTGACAAATGGGAAGAAATTTGATCGTGTTTATATGAACATTTCATCCCACCTTCCAGCTTCATCCCACCTTTTGAAAATTTTTTCGGCAATTTGGTTTTTTAATCAGAAAATGCAAAGAGTCTTTTTTGTGTGAAAAGTGTAAGGTTTAAAAAGTTTGTGCAACGTATATACATTTTCGATTGGACTCAAATAGCTTAAGAAGTTTCTGAGAACTGATTTCTTCTTCCATGTGATGCAGGCCCGTTGGAACCTGGGCCTGTAGTGTAGTGACGGAGGGTGACAATAATTTTCAAACTGTAGTATGTTTCCTTTATAACGGTGTACTGAATGAGAAGGAAAACAATGGACAGGCCCCCCCCCCAATATAAATTTCTTTCCGACGGCTCTGTGATAATATGATTTATATTTTCTTCTAAACTCCAAACAATTATAAATCGCTGCTATTATGAATAAAAAATGGTCTAGGAAGAAGCTTATAGCTCACGAAAGACACGAAAGAAAATTTCTCAGGGGATCTGGCCCTAGTTTCCCTTCAAGCTTATTAATATGCAAAACTTATTATTATGAAAAACTACTAGCATTCTTACAAACCAGTATATTGCCAAGTTCTATTGAAGGGATTGTAGATTTATAACTAAAGTGGCTCGCCACAAAGTATACTTATGCTTCCTATACAAGTATGATGTCCATGAAAAATAAAAAGTAAGGTTTGCTATTCTCCCATTGCTTAAAAGGATTAACAAAGTAGAGGATCAATCAATTCTGATTCTTAAGTTAAACTTCTAGCAATCTATATCTGAAATACATTAAGGCCATGGCAGCAAGCAGAACCATAAGATGATAAGTTTAGATTATCGTTCAAAGTCCTAATGAGGTTATGCATTAGAATGTTTCTATTGACTTATTTCATGTTAGCGTTAATGTCTGATCTAAAAATCTTCGATCTTTATGAGAACTGGAGACAGCAGCTGCGCTTAGTTGGTCATATTTTGTCATGTCTCAGATGTATCCGTTTTACAAAGACATTCTGGAAGTTGCTTATCTGATGGTGTAATTAGATTCCAGGAGAATATTTTGAACGACTGATAATCTTGTTCTCAAGGCATTTGGCGTGACATTGCTTTGTGTGCTACTTAAAGCAAAAATATAGTTACGACTTTGGCAAGTGCTAAATCCAGCTTTCGGATATCAGATTACTTGACACCAACGTGTATGTGTTTAGAGTTCCTTTGAAGATTGCCCGAAATTTCTTTTTTGACCTGGTTGGTAATCATTCTCACTGGAGCTAACAGTTTATTTTCGTATCCAGTGACACAGGTTGAAAATTTAGGATAAGTTTAAGAAGCGGCAGGTGACTGTCTTAAACGAAAAAAAAAAGAAAAGGGGAACTCTTTTTTAGAGTACTTTCCTGTGCTCCGGGCCACACCCTCAGCGTCTGCAATACACTAATTTCTTCATAATAAACTTCTCGTAAGAAATTACGAGCTAGGGTTGCCTTCTTGTAAGAAACATATTTTAACCTTATGAAACCTATTTAGATGTTCTTTTTAATAATATACTATCACAAAGATAGCACCGACTAAATAACTATTAAATTAGTTTTGAAATTTGAACAGGTTTCAGCTGAATTCGAAGCAATTTTTTACATTAAAAATCCTATTGTATTTCTGTTTTCTACCAAGTGGAAAAAAAATCTTAAGGAACTTCAGCACTCAATTCGCATAAAAAGGAAGATACATTCTTTACAATTTTCAAGTTTTTGATAGAGAAAGTGAGTGCATCCAGTTAAGCGTGTACCTGAAAATAACGCTGCGAGCGCATTACGCTTGTTATATCATTTTATTGCTAATTCTTTTGTTTTTATTGGGTCTATCGTGGTTAATTCTGAACCAACATTATCACCTTGGTTTTAATCCTTGACAGTGTATGAAGAAACGAAGTTTCAAATATTTGCTGCCTTTCCTGTATTTGTGGCTCCCAATCTTGTATAACGGGCTCATTTGTCTTAGGCATGTCTCCTTTGTTTTGTGACTTTGGCTTCTGTATCTTTGGCACTTTTATATCGTCCTACTCTTTTGGGCTCTGGTGTCTTTATCTTTGGCTTCTCTTATTATCTTTGGCTCCTGAACCTTGGCCGTTATGTCTTGGGCCCATGCTTTTTGAGCAACTTTATCATGGGCCTTTGTATCATTTGCTCCAGTTCCATGGGCTCTTACATATTGGGCTTGTGTATCTTAGTCTTAGGCATTGTTACTTTTGGTCATGGTCTTTGGTGCCAGTATCATAGGTACCTTCGTCTTTGGCACCTGTTCCTGGAGCACATGTATCTCGAAGTCCAGTATCTTTAGTTCCTGTATCGTGAGCTCTTGTATGTTGGGGGCCTAAATCTTGAGCTTATGTATTCTAAGGATCTTGTCTAAATTAATGTTTCAGAGACGAAAAATACCAAACAATTTTCTAAAATCATTATTGATTCAAAACGTTTCTTTTATACTTTTTTGAGGTGTCTACAATCAGCGGAGAAAATTCTTAATCTACACACTGTAAAAAGAATCAATGAGACTTAAAAAAAACAGTCAAAACAGGCAAAATGGCTTTACAGCATGCACACTACATAGCACTTCAAGGTTTGGTATGTCTATTGACAAGGTATATGCCTTACATTCCCACAATGCAACACCAGATGCAACATATAATGCAACACCGTATGGAAGAAAAATTCATAAACTTTGACGCTACATGGGCTGCACAGGGGTGGTGGATCGGATCGATATTAAGATACTGTCCAGCCTCGGTTGGATGCTTATTGATTACCAGATCTTACAACTGTTGCAGTTTAAGACACTCAAAATAAGATCACAAAATAACATCTGAAAACCTATGCATAATAAAGGGTTGTATAAGAGAATTGCATGTCGCATAAATTTGCAGTGGCATCTTATACGATCCCGTCGTAAAAAGTCTTCTAAATAAGAAATGTTGTTTTCGAACTTGCAAGTGATATTCTGCATTTAAAAGATCAGCTACAATATCGAAGGCTTAAAAACTGCTTTGTTATTTCAGCATTGATTCATTAAGCATTATGAAAACAGCACAGGCACTTGACCGTCGGCAATTCAAAATAAAGAAGGATAATCAAAAAAGTTTTTAAGTTCTAAATCAAAGTTATATATTGTCACAGCTAAGATCAATTCATTTGGTCTCTGATTAAAAGATGGAATCGATCGAAAATACAGTCATCAGGAAAAGATTAATCCTGATCCCATTACCCTGTGATCTGACAAATTATGGAAGTTAAGAAACTAGGTTTCTCCGATTAAGGAAGTCGGCCTATTATTCTTGAAGTCTTATCTCTTTTTTCTTCATCACAGCATAAGATCCTAGTTCTCTTGTCTCTTTCCTAACAACACTCAATCGCAGTAGTTTGTGTAAACACTGCAGTTGCTAAATTCAGATTGGACCTTTAGCCAACCCTCTTATTATTACCAAATTGCATGGCACAGTTAGTAACGCGAATGTAT